TGTGTGTGTGTGTGTGTGTGTGTGTGTGTGTGTGTGTGTGTGTGTGTGTGTGTTGCATTAAATAAGTCCAGTTGAGAAGTTGGTGGAGACAAATATACTGGTATACTGATTTAATTAAGAGCAGATGTTCTCTGGTGTTTTGCAGAAAAGAGGGAGGKTTAGCCTAAAATTTGTTATTTGAGAAAAGGGTCAAAGGTCTTTTTTGTGTGTGTGTGTGTGGGTCTGAAGTTCTCTACAAAATTGAAGACCAAAATAAATGTCAGAATTTGTGCAAATGCTTCCATCTTGCAGGTAGCTCGACAACATCTGCCATATGAGCTGAAGCTGGAAGCCAGTGTGACTCTGAGAGACTCTTTCTGCATGTGTCTGAGATGGACAAGAGGCCCTGCCTGATGGTGCTACCACAGGGTTTTATAAAGGGTGGAATAAAATATAAAAAATACCATGAGAAAAAAATTCATTTCAGTTTACATTTTAACACACTTACCACAGATGCCGTGGCTGCTCTGTGCTCTGACTCGCTCCAGTCAGTTGGTAAAGTTTCTGAAACTAATAATAAAACTAATACCAATCCACACACACACTTTCAAGTCGTTCATTTAAGTCCWTTGTATTAAGTTAAACAGAACCAAATAAAAGTTGACAGAAAAGAGTCGTTAAATAAACACTTAACCTTTATTTTAACGCCATTCATAATAAATCTCTGAAGAAACCAAGCCCGGATCGTGACGCCATCGCAGGACAAGGAAAAAAAAAAAAAAAAAAAACACAACAACGTGACGTAGAAGCCAAGATGGCGGCTCCCCACTCCACCATGAGATTTTGGAAGCCGGGTAAGAGCGAAAAAAACTATAGAATAGACCATGTTATGTTGTCTTTTGAATGAAAAATGTAATTTATAAAGGTTGCAGCTGCTGCTTATGGAGCGGTGAGTGTCGGAGCGGCGGTAGTGGTGCTCACCGCTGCTGCTGCGGGCTGTCTGCAGCTCGCATGTAGCTGCGCGCAAACGAGTGTTTACCTGCCAAAGATGAAATAATTCCGCGACGAAAACACACGATAAAGGTTACAGAATAGGCACCATTTAAGTGTTTTCGTGTACGCTACCAAATGTCTATGTTCTCCTGAAAGCCTCATCAGTCTGCTAGCATTAAATAAAACATCTCTCCTCCTCCATCTGCTTTGCTCCAGGCTCAGAGGCACCGGGGATTTCCGAGGAACGGGAGCTCAACTCGGAGACCACCGGCTCCCCCATCATCTTCAACCCCAACACCGCCTTCTCTATAGAGAAGCAGCGACAGAAACTCCCCGTTTTTAAGGTTCTTTATGGTGTTTCTCATGCTTCAGAGACAGACCAAGATGATTTTCTTTTGAACAGATTGGGAGTGTTTTTTTTTCTTGTTTGGCTGGCTTTAATGTGGACTTTTTAAAATTTGATCAATATGTATTTCTTATGTTTCCCATGCAGCACAGAAACAACATCTTATACTTGGTTGAAAGCTACCAAACTGTAATCATAGTTGGTGAGACCGGGTGTGGGAAAACGACACAAATACCTCAGGTTAGTGTGAGCGTTTCAAACGAAAGCTGACTCGTTTCAGTGCAGCACCTTCCTGCCATCCTTCACGCAGAAGAGCTGCTTCCACAGTGATTTAACATGACCTTGTCCTGATTCTTAGCAGCCTCTTTCTGTTTTGAAGCCGTGTTTGCACCACATCAGCTAAAACTTAATTTATGCAGAATCGGTTATTCTCGCTTTCTTCTCCTCTTCCTCCTCCTTGCATCTCCTGCACATCAGTACCTGATGGAGGCCGGCTGGGCCGCAGAGGGGAAGGTGATTGGAGTGACGCAGCCTCGACGTGTTGCTGCCATCTCTGTAAGAGCTCCACTCAAAGCTTTTTTCCACAACTCGCCGTTTTTTTTTTTTTTGCCAATGTCATCTAGCTGCGGACAAATGTAGTCCCCGCTGAAGAACATGTCCCAGCTTTTAATGACATGTTTTGTGCCTCTTTTCTGCTGATAGGTGGCAAACCGTGTTGCAGAGGAGCGGGGGGCTCTCCTGGGACACGAGGTGGGCTACACCATCCGATTTGATGACTGCTCTGATCCCCAYGCCACAAGGATTAAGGTTATAAATGAAGGATGAGTTTTGTCACTAGCTTTTCTGCTTGGTTTTATTTGGTGTTTATTTTTGGTGTCGCTCCAGTTCCTAACAGATGGCATGCTGATACGAGAGATGATGGCTGACCCTCTTTTGAAAAAATACAGGTGAAAACCAAACAAGAAAGTGTTTATGTACAGCTGTTCTTTACTTACTCTAAATGTTCTAAAGTCTTATCTTGAACGTTGATTGGCTTTGGAACACGTCAGCTTGTTTCATTTTTCAAATCAAGCTTGATTTGTTTGTGTCAACATTTACAATGATAAAGATCCACTTTTTTCTTCGCTCATATATCAGTGAATGTAATTTTTTGAGTGTCTCTGTAAAATGGCAAACACAACTTCTACACTAGATTGTCTGTATATTCAAAATGAGAAAGCAGACAAATTCGAGGTGGCAGACCAATAACTTAAACAGTGACTAATAAAATTTGGACTTTCAGTGCATTATTGTCATTCTGTCATGAAAATTGCATGCTCTTTCACAAAATGGTATGGAGAAAAATAGCTAAAACTTGCCCCATATTTTTTTTGACATTTTCTATAATTGTTTTGGTCAAAGATGCAACCAGACTCTAGTTAGCTTTTTGATGCTATCTTGTTCTGTCATCCTTAGTGTGTTAATGCTAGACGAAGCACACGAGAGAACTCTGTACACAGATATAGCAATTGGTCTACTGAAGAAGGTATTTTAAGCAACAAGTTCAACAATACTAACTAATACTTTCTTTTCCTGTTTATAAAACTAACCTTGTGTCATGGTTTGAACTTACTTCTGGACAGATTCAGAAGAAGCGGCGTGACTTGAGGGTGATTGTAGCCTCTGCCACACTTGATGCCAAGGTGACTACATCATTAAGATGAACAGATAACGTCGACTGATGTCAGCTGTAGTTGTGCTGCTCTGACATCTGTGGTACCCTGATGAAAGATAACCACAGTCAGGTCTCGGCTGTTCTAATAGCAGCAAGTCAGCTGGAATGTCATATCAGACATCTGCTGTGTTGTCTGCTTAAAACTCCTTTTATTTAGCCRTGCCAGGATTTTATCACTTGTCAAATTTAGTACAACATCCTTGGTTATGTTGCTAAAAAGCCTAACTGTGTTTATCATGTTAAACATTTTCTGTAGTTTTAATTGGTAAATTATTTTTTATTAAACTACACCGTCTTATTTGCTATTATTACCCTATTTAAAGAAATTCCATGAATTCTTCAACCTGAACGAGTCTGGAGATCTAAATAAGGACACGAGTGCAATTCTGACAGTCGAGGGACGCACTTTTCCTGTGGATGTCTTCTACACTGTCAGGTATTCCAAACACAAAGTCCAAAATAACAAAATGATAATTCACGAATTCATAATGTTCTTTTAAACCTCAAAGTACCTCTGGTTTATTGCTAGTCCTGTCCCAGATTATGTGAAGGCCACATTAGAGACAGTGCTGAAGATCCACGAGACTGAGGATGATGGGGACGTCTTGGCTTTCCTCACTGGACAGGTTCGTTTTATTTAGCTTTATTTGCTTATCTCATGTTTAGCGAATGGGTAAAAAGGTTTGACAACATGCACGTTTTCTTAACGTTAAACTAACCATTTTAATGTTGCATTAGGAGGAGGTGGAGAAGTTGGTGTCTCTTCTGCAGGAACAGGCCAGGGCTCTTTCTCGATACGGCATGAAGAAACACCTGAGGATTTTGCCCATGTATTCCGGTTTACCTTACGCTGAACAGATGAAGGTGTTTGAGAGGGCTCCCTCTTCTGTTCGAAAGGTGAATGATTTTTTTGGGGGGCGGGGTTTCTATTCATCTATCTGTTTTCATCTATCTATGCATCCTGATGCTGTGGATGATGAGGAAAAGCAAACAAACCAAATTAGAGAATAAGTTCAGATTTTCCAATGTTTTTTCTTCCTCTTCCGCAGATTGTGGTGGCCACCAACATAGCTGAAACCTCCATTACCATAAATGGAATTGTATTTGTCATCGATTGCGCATTTGTGAAGCTGCGGGCGTACAATCCTCGCACTGCTATCGAGTCTCTGGTGGTCACTCCCATCTCCAAGGCTTCAGCCAGCCAGAGGGCGGGCAGAGCTGGACGAAACCGTCCTGGGAAGTGCTTTAGGCTGTACACAGGTGACTGGAACAAATCCCCATTGCTCATCTTTACTGCCCYGTTTATTTATTCGCTAATGTTGCTTCTTTTCTTGTTCCTGATTCCATCTGTCCTTCACATCAGAGGAGGACTTTGAGAAGCTGCCTGCTTCGACTGTTCCGGAGATGCAGCGCTCTAACTTGGCTCCTGTCATCCTTCAGCTCAAAGCGTTAGGCATAGACAACGTGCTGAGGTTCWGTTTTCTTTCTGTGAGTCGCTCAGTTTGGTTTCACAGGATGTCACATTTTATTTAACAAAAATATGGCCTGGCTTTTGGCAAAAAAATGCACCATAACACACAAAAAACTACTGTCTGACCTGTACTTTTAAAGACAATGAATGACTTCTCAAGTACAATAAATTTAGAATTCTTCCTGTTTATAAAGTCCATATTGTGCCTTGAACAAATGTCTCTTTATTTTTATTTAACAGCCTCCTCCAGCTCAAACTATGGTTCAGGCTCTGGAGCTTCTTTATGCACTTGGAGGTAAGAAACACGGTGCTCAGCAAGGTGATAAACTGTCTTTCAGCTGCAGCTCTGATCCCATCACGATTCTGTGTTGACAAGCTGTTACCCAGAACAGGAAGCAGCGTCTTCACTGTCTGTGTGCGTCTCGGCAGGTCTGGACCAGTACGGCCGTCTGACTGATCCCATGGGCATGCGGATGGCAGAGTTTCCTCTCAGCCCCATGTTTGCCAAGATGCTCCTGGAGTCAGGGAACTTTGGCTGCTCCAAGGAGATCGTATCCATCGCAGCAATGATGCAGATTCAAAATATATTTGTCGTGCCACCCAATCAGAAGAAAGTCGCCGTAAGTGAAAGCRTGTATTTTTTTAAAGTGGTTTCGGCAGAAATGTTTCATCAATGTAATAAATTATTTAAGTACACAAATATTTAAGAGACAGAAAAGTAAAATGAGAAGCTATATGAGTTGTTGTTTGAGTTGATGTTTTTATTTTTATTTGTATTGTTTTGTAAACTATGTTTTATTTGAATATATCCTGGAAATAAAAGGGGCAGACATAAGACTAATTCTTCTTCTGCTACCTTTCATTTTGTTTTGATTTGTGTATTCTCTTTGTTTTTTTATTGTATATAGTTATTTTTTAATGAAATGAATAAAGTTTTTGAATTGAATTGAAATTGTTAGCACCTTGTGTTGCAGGCTCGTGAGCACAGGAAATTTGCAGTTGCAGAGGGAGACCACCTCACCATGCTGAACGTTTATGAAGCCTTTATTAAGGTACAGCGCGGGCACACAGACTGCTCAGTGGGCTGCTGTGAGCTTCAGTCATTTTCAAGCGGTTGTCTTTAATCAAGGCGATGTCAACTTTCTCTGCAGCATCAGAAGAGCTCACAGTGGTGTCAGGAACATTTTCTGAACTACAAGGGTCTGGTGCGTGCCGTGACTGTGAGAGAACAGCTTCGACGTCTCATGAACAAGTTCAAAGTGCCGCGGACTTCCAGCGAGGGTACGTTTGAACTGTAAATATGTGAATCCACTGAACTGACAGACCCCACAGATGTTTGTGACTCCCGAATTTTTTATGAGTGCACTTTCTGTACAGGTGATCCAGATGTGATCCTGAAGTGCATTGTATCTGGATTCTTCGCCAATKCTGCCCGCATTCACCATTCTGGTTCCTACCGGTGAGCATGAAGTTCAGTATTTATCGTGATTCTTCATGCTTTTAAATTATTTATGACATTTTGTCTTCCTTTTGTTTTCTTATTTTTATTTTTATTTATTTGCCATGCCAGGACTTTACGAGATGATCTAGAGCTTCACATCCACCCCAACTCTGTGCTTTATGGAGAGAAACCTCCAAAGTGGTCAGTACATAATTCACTCTTTTGAGTGTTGAATAATTTTATCATCTTGTCTAATAAAACTAAAACGATTCACAAATAATTTAGCAAATGTTTTGAGTAAAATGGGTTTTCAGTAGGGCTACACAATATTTAAATTTGTCATCATTACAATATCAATGTGCCAACTATTAATATGACAAATAATGGCAATAAACTCTCAGTTTAGCAATCATATTTTAAGTGCCAAGAATTCATGCTCCATATTCCAGTAAAATATTTGTCCAATTTTATGACGGAGACAACGTTTGCCAAAAATTCCCTTGAATTCTTTTAGGGTCGTCTTCAATGAAGTGGTGCAGACGTCAAAGTATTACATGCGTGACGTGACTGCTGTTGAGTCGTCCTGGCTGGTCGAGTTGGCCCCTCACTTTTACAAGCAGGCAAAGGTTGGTCAAAGAAATTCAACACGTAACTTAATAATTTGTTTGTGATCATTACCAGCTGTATTCTGCTCTTTTCAATAACCTTCTCCCGTCTTTTCCTCTTCAGCATGGTTCACTCTCCAGCAAGAGATCCAGGGTCCTGTAGGGCAACTATCAAAAGAAAAGAAAACAACGTTACTCTTTATTGTATACATAAAGGTATTATATGTATTTATTGTCCATGCCCACCTGCACAACTCCCTCTACACTGTGTGGCCATGCAACAACAGGACGAAGTTGTAGATTTTTACTGTTGCTATTAACACTTTTAACTTGCTTTTTGGCTGTATATATGGGATTTAGCAGTAATGTGAGAAGAGGCCAGGTGGGCCTGACTGGCACCCATTCAAGCATGGCCATGTAGTTTATACATAAATATATAAATACAAATATATGTATATATATAAACTGTAGTTAGTTTAGGGAACAGTTCCTGTGCCACAGGCCCATCTACACCTGGCTTTATTTTTTTTAAAAGCTATATTTTCTCTTGTTGCTGAAAACTAATGAATGACAGACTGAGGTTGTTTCCTGTTTGAGGGACTCTTAGTTCTTGCTCCATAATATTCTGGGTGCCTTTGTAGTTTTATTAGTTAACAGAACCTCAAATTTTATTTTACCAAACCCATAAACTTCTGTACTTTTCCACAGAATGTAGTTCCATATATTTAGATTTTTTTTCTMTAGACATAGTTGCATTCCTCTTGTTTTAATTTAATCTAAAATCTTCTTATTGTTAATACTGTGAATAAACTGCATAACCCCCCTCCCCCACATCTCCTCACCCCCCATTCAACCAGCGTACATCTCAGATCTAGTGGCCTTGTCATCACTCTGTGCCAATAGTTGTATTTTTAATAGACTTTCACATTTTATTCTTAAATGAAATGTGTAAATATTTCCAAACATTGTAAATGAAAAGCTGTGAAACTAGAATTAAGAAAAAAGTACCGTATGTTGCTGTGATCTCAAAAACAAAACATTTAGATGTGCATTTAGGGTCTAAAAAAACATCATTTCATTTTAATGGGCATCTTAAAGACCTTTTCTTTTAAATAATATACATTTTTCTGTACCCATGATCCATTAAAATAATTTGAGCATTTATCAGAATTACGCATCACTTCCATGTTGCACGTCTCCATACTATTGCTTTTGTCTTTATTTTGAATGCATCTACATATCATATTTATAAATTTTCCCCACCTTGGTAGAACTTGTTCTATAGGTAAGAACTGTAAGTTCAGTGAAATGGTAATTACATCAAAGGTACTACCATACAGCAAACAGAAAAAAGTGTACTGAAATACAATAGATTTAAAAATGAAGTACATTTGCATGTTAAATGGTACTCTTGTCTAGATCTGTTTATTCTGTGTATACTAAAGGAAAAACGTGCACATCATAACTTGTTCATGCTCATCTGTGCAGTTATGTATGCACCTAAAACAGTAATCTGTAGGCCTGTTTGGCATCTTATCTCTGAGATTAAAATGGTCACTTATCATTTCATCCTGACATTGGTAAATAAAGCCTTATTGTTCAACCAGCTACTGTACTTTTTATGCTGTGTCTTTGTTTACCATGGGGTGTCACTGTTGTTCCACAATCTGCTGAATCTCCAGTTATTAATAGGATCATAAGTAGATTTGAGAGCATTAACCTCTGTCTTTATGTAGTCAATCTTTTTGTAAAARCTGTGTATCTTGTAAATGATGTTTCAGATGACACATTTAATGCAGTTGCAGTAATCTGCATTTTTAAAATATAAATAAAAATATGTATATGTATATACAAAAAATAAAAATATACATTTGGCATATTTACTTAGCACAAAAAGGAAGGAGRTATGTGTTTGGTGGATTATTTCTTTGTTGTAACAATGCTTGATCTTATATCAGACACCTGATTGGCAGCACCTGGGGGAGCCAGAAGCTCAAAACAAGTGTCAGTGGACACAACCCACACACTCAGCTTTACTGCTCATCCCACAAATGCATGTTCCTTACAAATGTGGTACCATTTAAAAGGGAATTTAACACGCTTTAAAACAGTATGGTTTATTTACAAGAAGCACTGTTACAACAAAGAAAWGATCTTTCTACCAAACACATTTTTYAAAAACTTTTGGTGCTAAGTTTAGAATGTTCCACCAATGTTTAATTAATAAATTTAGACTACATTTTTTCTTCAGTATGAATCTATGAAGTAATGTTTAGATAAAGATCCCCATTAAYAGGCATTTATTTGAATAAATTTGTTGCAAGGCTTTAGCTAAMATTAAAACACAACAGCTAGTAGAAGTAGATTCTTTAAMCTACTTAAGYTTYYGGTGTTTACATCAGTGTTTGAGTTTTTCTTCCGCCGATATGGTGAAGACGAYGGGGGGCCAAGCATAGTAGCTTTGATAAACCTTTACAATAATAGTTAATAATATAGTATATATAATATAATATAATGTAGGAGCCCTGTCTTTGCCAACGAGAATACGGCATGGAACAACAAAACCTTCATATTCCCCTGCGCATGCGCAGTGTGTCATGATTTCTTCCATGTCTCAGATTATTGGTAGTGGTGTTTAAAGMCTGGTGGTAGCCTCATTTTCTCAACAAATTAGTACTGGACACTCAAAGTTAGTGTTTTCCTTAAAAAACACAATATTATAGACGATACTGTAAAATGCATGCTTTTACAGTTGTTTCTTAAAAATTGACATTTTTTAAACGCGGTATTTATTGTTTATCTAAGCAAATAATTACCTTAGCCAATTAAGTGTTTTACCATTGTTGTTGTTGGCTAATTTGATGTTCTGTACTCATTACAGTAACARTTGCTTTTTAAGCTGTTATGTTGTCTTTTATAACGTGTTTTCCCCACTGTTTAGATAGTGTGTTAAGAAAAAAAAACACAATTTGGGTTGTTTCAACTTTTTAAGGGTTGCAATACTCAGTTCGGTAGTAATTAATCTAACCATTTAAACAATTATTTACTTTGAAACCAATTGTTATTAAGAATGARAAATTTAAAGCACTGCCCACTTTCCAAAGAGAATAAAGCAATTCATTATATGTACTTGTTGTATACTTTAATACTGTCTCTTTTTACATGTTGTAGATTATTGTTTTTTTGGTTGCTCCCTTCTGCAGGGGTTGCCACAGTGAATGAACTTGCATGAAACATTTGTAAATCATTTTACTCTGGATGCCCTTCCTGACATGGGCTCAAACCTGCAGCCTCAGGATTACAACACCATAGCACTGACCACCAAGCTRCTGCAGCTGCCCCTTATTGCTTTACATCCAGAATGGAAAATGTAAGTTGCTAGATTTAAAAAAAAGAAGAAGAGAGAAATCTGAAAGTTCACCTATCACCCACCATGTTAGTGATCAACATGAAAAGAACAACCTAAAAGCCCTGGAAACTAAATAAATTAAACTGTATTACACAGATTAGTGTGTAGTTAATTAAACGAGAACTGGATTGTGTAATGCACCTGCATCAGAAAGACTTTTGTTTCTTAAATTTCATTTATCCCTTTTGTTTTAGGACTCTGCTGTGCTGAGATTTACACGGAAGACAAAACCAGGTAGGAAACAAAAGGCTACGTTATAACGTGTTTTTCAGTTCCACCCAGTTGCCCATTAGTGTTGTATAACCAAATATATGTGAGCTGACAGCCGGAGGTATCAGTGATTAATTGCACGCATGTGACTCGGACCACGCAGCAGTTTGAACAGGTTGTGGGTATGTGCTTGASTGTTCCTCACCATATTTCAGTGCTGTCAAAAAAAATCATTGACATGTTCCGTCCAATTCGAGGAATGTTTAACTGTCTTAAAGGATTTGATGGGAAAGCAAGTCATGTGTGAATTGTAATTATCCCCTGTTCAAAGTTTGTACATGTTTTGAAAGAAAACAAAGTGGTTAATGTTTTTCCACTCAATGAATCAGTAATGATTGCTTTTTTTGTGTTTTTAATGCTAAATATACTTAAACACATGATGCATACATTTAGTGATGGGTGTTTAGTTATTAGAATCAGTCAAAAATGGTCATTTAAAAATAAATTTCCCAATCATTTTCTCAAGATTTTTTGAAAGCTTTACAATACATTTATCAATGCATCTTTTTTATTTAGTTACTTGGTCATGAAATTTAAGGCTAATCATCAGCAGTTAAAGTTAAACAGAGTTGCCCATAAAAAAGGTAAAAACAAACCAACACAACACCAAGGTACTGTCAAAATTAACAACACAACTATTAAAATTAATTAATTGTATGTTCTTTTTCAGAATGAAGTGGATATTCGACGTTTATATGTAGAATTACAGAAAAATAATATTATTTTTGCAAATGTTATCTGACACTATGGAAAATAATGTTATGATGCAATGATGAGCACATYGTTATGTGAGTGTGTGAAGACATTTTTTTATTGTTTGAAATGGGCTTCATCTTGGCTTCATCTCAAAGAATTGTATACATACATAAAAAAAATAAAAATCTAGGAAATGAGAAGKACCAGAGGAATTTTTACATTCGGGAGCGTGTATGCAATCAGTAGCGTGGGACTCACAGAGGCCTCCTCGGGTGACAAATTGAAAGTGTCTCGGTCTAGTTTATAGCCCTGATCAGGTCAAACGAAAAATATTGGAGGTCTGGGTGAAGAGACAGGCCCGCCTGGTGCAGATAAATGGACTGATCATTTCTTATTGAGAAACAATTCCTAAAAGGTACTTTACTGTGTGACTGGGGAAGCGGCGAGCGGAGAGCAGAACACGCGCCCACTGCTCCCTCCCTGACCCTTCCTCCACTGCCGGAATTAAATGGATAGAGAGAACGCGTGTTTCTGATGGCACTCCTCCGCCAGAGAGACACTCCATTTGTTATGAAGTAGGGGTTCTGATGAAGTGTAGGGAGCTCCTTTTTTCTCTTCCCCCCCTTTTTTCATCCTTCCCTTCTCAGGCACTACAAGGCCGGCCTTCAGTCTGCTTCACATGAAATGGATGGAAGGAGCCAATTGAATTTTACACTCCCCTGCTCATGATTAATGTGTTTGGTGAGGACTATCTTGGCAGTGAAACTCGACTTCCACTAGCTGGTGCTAGAGCTCCTCCACGYCTGTTGCCTGAAAACTTTAAACATCAGGTTTCATTGGGGCTTTAAAAGCAGTGGAGTTTTGTTTGAGACAATGGTCTTCACATAGCCCCCAACCTCTCTTACTCCTCTCCCCATGTGTTAATAGAAAACCTCTTGCCTGTTTTCCAGTTATTATTTCACAACCAGTTTCTCAGTGTGCTTTTGTACCCAGTGTTTCTTGGCAAGGCATGCTGTAAATGTCAATTTATCACTTAACCTCCTGTTAAAGAGTGGATGGCAGAGGCTAATGAAAGATGCCTGGTCATGCAAGTGGATGTTTTTGACGATGGTATTTAATTATTCATTGTGTTTTTTAATGTGTTGACATTAAAGTTTCCTTTTGTTTTCATTGTATTCCTAACTGTAAGTAAGTAATGTTGTGTTGCATGTTGTTTTCATGCACACAGAATTATCAAGTTGATTATATA